ACCTCCATGGCTGACAGGTGTGTATGTATTTGTGTGGAAATGTGTCCCATCATGTAACAAATAGATGCATTTTCACATATCAAACGGCTACAAAATCTTTGGTTACGCTTTGACGATCATTTCCTCTTCTTCCAGGTGCTTCAACAACTCAGACGGAGACTTTCTGATTGGTGAGGAAAAGGAATGTTGATGTTTTCACTGTCATCTATCACAAGAGCAATGATAGCTCAATCCCCGGTCCTTATTCTCCCTCAAATTTTCTTTTCTCTGCCTCTCTTTGTCTGTTTGTCTCTCTAGTCCCTCAGCAGGGTGAGATCTTGATCACCACAGAGTTTGGGAAAATGATGGTCGAGCCGAACGAGATCTGTGTCATCCAGGTGAGGTCTATGTGTTTCATCTCCCCAGTTTTCAAGCAGGAATCTACCATTGTGTCTGCCCTCACACCCAATTTACCATATTTAGAAAGACATAGTTTGGTGTTTTTCAAGAGTGACCTTATCAGTACATCCCACATTTGATTCAAAACAGCAGTAGATTTCCCTTCACCACCACTTCTTATGTGTTTTCTCCAGCAAGGGATGCGCTTCAGTGTGGATGTGTTCGGAGAGACCAGAGGTTATATACTGGAGGTGTATGGAGCTCATTTTGAACTCCCTGACCTGGGACCCATAGGTGTGTACATGATGTTTGTGAGTGTGGTTACATGTAGTACTCTTCACCCTTCCTTTAAATCTGCACATGTCAGTTTATAATTGGTTCGCACCCCAAATTTGTCACATTTTTATCCATATTAGCAGCAAGGAAATATCTCAACAACTACTGGATGGATTGCCATGAAATCTTATATATATATATTATATACATTCTCCCCAGTGGATGAATCCTAATGACTTTGGTGGTCCATGAACTTTTATTTAGCGCCATCTTTAGGTAAAAATGGATGTTGGTTTATAATCAAATAGCTGCAAAACATTTCCATTAGCGTCAGCTGTACTTAGCTAATTAGTAAATGTTAGCATGCTAAACTAAAATGGTGCGACATCAGCATGTTAGCATACTGATTAGCATTAAGCTCAAAGTACAGCCTCACAGAGCTGCTAGCATTTTGTATATGCATATGTATTACTATGTGTGTATCTCTTGCAGGAGCCAATGGTCTGGCCAACCCCAGAGATTTCCTGTGTCCAGTTGCTTGGTATGAGGATCGCAAAGTGGCCACAGGTTACACCATCATTAACAAGTACCAAGGAAAGCTCTTCGCCTGCCAACAGGTGTTTTTTGGTGACATTTTCAGTTTATGTGTGTCAGTACACTGACATGTACACAGATACTATATAACAGGAGCCCACACATATGGCATACCTGCCCTATTACCCTATTTAGGTTTGTGTTTGCTTCAGTAAACACCACTGAACCGCAACAATGACTAACAGGAAACTGTCCAAGTGAAGCATATGATCCATTAGCTGCTCCTGTCGATTGAATTGCCATCCCTGATGATTTAATATCGAAGCGTTGGCTGTTATCCATTCAGCAGGTTTCCGCCTCGACTCCCTTATGAGTCTTAATCACTCATAATTAGTTAAGGCATTTTGGAGTTACAGAGAGTGTACCTGTGAAGCTTTGCTTTGTAGGAAAAACCTTCCCCAAGTTAAGCATTAATTTCACCATATTTCACTCAGGGAATGATCCTGCCCCTCCCGAAATGTCCTGTTGGGCGCATAATTGGATCGACACATAATGTCTGACAGGAGGTTTTTTACCGAGACAGGGAGGAGGTGGGAGGAGAGGTTTGTCAGGGGCGGGGGTTGGGGGGTTGTAACCGTGGAAACCATGTCAAACCACACTGCTATTATTCATCGAAGGAAGTACACAAGGGCAAGATACTGTCTTTTTTTCTTTTTTGTAGCAAAACAAACATTTTCCCATCTCTCTTGCTGCCTCTATGAGAGTACCCACCCCCTGTTATGTGCTGGGTGACAGAGGTGGAGGCTGCTGTCTGCACCTGACACTCTTCTCCTGGTGTCCACCCTTCCCAGAGTCAGGAGGGTGAGGCTACAGGGCTAAGAAAAATAAGGTGGGGGACGCGGTCCTCATCTCAGGGAAGATGCTGCTGCTCCCGTCTGGTCCTGCTGTTTTGTTCCCCCGCAGAGCGCTGAAATTGCTCAAATTAACTTATTATTTGCTTGACTGGGCCAATATGTTTGTGTTTTGTGTGCATGTGTGTGCAAGTGCTCGCTCTCCTCCATTTTTCCCTTCATTTTAATCGAATGTAGTGGAGTTACCACAGACAAATGTCCAAGAGATTACCTGTGCTGGGTTTCCCAAAGGCCTTTTTGTATGGTAACCACTATGAATTGTGTGTGCGGTTACGTTTTTTTTCTTGGTGATTATTAGTTATGTAATGTGTTTGAATTTTAAGCACGTTTGTGTTTGCATATGTGTTTGTGAGGTTTTATTGTTAGTGTGTATTAGCTGTTCATGTGTGGAAGTGTATGTGAGCATGTTTTTAAGGAGCGCACAGGTCACTGAGGAGGCAGCTTGAGTTGTAATGAACTATATTGATTTTAGAGCTGCTGTTGAATGTCTTTTTCACAGTGACATTATCAGAACAGAGAAACTATATAAAATTGCTGTGGTTTTAACAATCAAGATAAAGAAATATCTCTGCACCCACTGTTACTGGTGCTCCCTCCCCCCATAACTACGCCGCTGCGAGCATCAAAATGCTCAAAGTTTGGGAAAGTTTGATTGTGAAGCCAATTACCCCATAATACCTGGAGCCTCGTTTCACAAAGAACAGGGGGAATGAAAGAAAAGAAAGAATGAAAGAAGCACACCCTCTTTCACAATCAACCCTTTTCATTATGACCAGTTTTTTTTCTCTTTATGTCAAGAAGTAGTCTCTCTGGGAATTTAAGATTACAAAGACATTATTCATTATTCCTTTTTCCCTGTGAAAAGCTCAATTTATAGTCTTTTGTGTTTGTTGCTGGGGTAGACTCGTCTTATTTGTTTCATTCTGTGTTCTGCACATAGGACTTCTCTCCATTCAATGTGGTGGCTTGGCACGGGAACTACACACCATACAAATACAATCTGAAGAACTTCATGGTTATCAACTGTGTGGCCTTTGACCATGCGGTGAGTGTTTAAGACCTCAGACGCACTCCAGTATACTACAGTACTTTTAAGTATACATACAACAAATTAATTTATTTGTCTATTGTGTTACTTATGATGGCCTCATAGGATCCATCTATCTTTACTGTGCTGACTGCTAAATCCACGCGACCAGGTGTGGCCATTGCTGACTTTGTCATCTTCCCCCCTCGGTGGGGTGTGGCTGACCACACCTTCCGTCCACCGTACTATCACCGTAAGACTGCAATAACACACACATGCCTTTCTTCAACTCTAATGTGGTTTGTTTGTGTTTAACAGGGATGGAGAAGATGCATTTTGAGGGCTATGTTGTTAAGACGTGGCTGAATCTGAATCACAATTTGAATGGAAATGTCAAATTCTGTGTCGTGAGGCTTATTTTAGTCTATCATGAAATGAAACAAACCAGCCACAAGCTAGCATGTCCATTTACCCAACCAGGGTCAAGACAGTGGGTGATAACAATCCACCTGCTGTATGACTCTTTCCAAGCCCCAGCTCCTTTTGTCTTTTTTCACCACAGATCTATAAGGCCATCTAGTGGAACTCAGTGTTACAGCTCGTTCTTCACACCCTGTACAGTGCTGTTACATCTCCTCCTGCTTGTCGCTTCAGGTAACTGCATGAGTGAATTCATGGGTCTGATAAAAGGCCACTATGAAGCCAAAGAGGAGGGTTTCCAGCCAGGAGGGGCCAGCCTCCACAGCATAATGACCCCACACGGCCCGGACGGTGAATGCTTTGAGAAGAACAGCACTGCTGAGCTCAAACCTGAGAGGGTGGCTGAAGGAACCATGGTAAAAAAAAAAATCACATGGAGAAGCACCATTAAGGATTTAGATTAGTCATTATAAAAAGTTTTAAAGCAGGTCAGTGCCATCAGTGATTGTATCTGTGACATGTCTTTTCCTTCCCTCAGGCTTTCATGTTTGAGTCGTCCTTCAGTATGGCAGTGACCAAGTGGGGTCTACAAACATGCCAGAGACTTGACAAGAACTACTACCAGTGCTGGGAATCTCTTCGCAGCCACTTTAATCCCAACTGGAAGCCCAGCAAACAGTAGTAAAACAAAGTATTAAACCAAATACAAGATACAAATTACAAAAAAAAAGGCCACTTTATTAAATGTAACTACCATCATTTCAACGTTCGTGCAACTTGGCATTATTTGCATCTTTGATCAGGTCTGTTGATGAAAACACACATGGAATAAAGTCATGTATTTCATGCACACAACTGAGATTGGAGTTGCACAATTAAAATGAACTTGTGTGACAAAGATTTGCTGTTTGTCACGTTAGAAATGAAAATCACATAGAGGCTGCAATAAATTGTTTCTGTACATGCATTTTGTGTTCATCTCCTGCTTTACCTTCACAGTTTGGAAATTAAATACATTATGAAATGGACACTTCGATTTCCTGCCAAGCTGAATGAGATTAAGAACATATAGCCTACCCTAATCTAACAAATAAAATAAAAATGTTAGTCTTGAATATTCTTCTCTACTTGTGCTATACTGTTATACAAACTTCACCATTAACTGTCATTTGTGGCCTCAGTGGTTGCAGTTTAGCTAGAGTTTACATGGTGTCTTGCTTACTCAGTGGTCATTAATCAAGTGTATCTTACTAACTTTTGCTGTGAAGATTTATATTTATGTGTCAAGGGATTTTAACTGGTGATCTACAACAACATTTTCATTTAAACCCTAATGTTATAATACTTGCAGTGTCCATACCCTGGTCCGTGGACATGTAGAGTGTGCACACATTTACAATATACAGTGTTTTACCACCATTCATACTTAAGTCTCACCAATCAAAACCGCATTATTGTTTTTGAGAATTTCACTTTATTTGGATAATAATAATTACACGCAGTGGGATCACTACAACATAAGTCTTTATACATCGGAGCTCATGACGACATTTGGAACTTGCGCTTGAGGGTCCCAGCTTTAATCTGCGCCTCCTTTCTATCCTGTAAAACAGACGACAAACAGATGATGGGTTAATACAGTTTCCATGGCAACAAAGTCGTATCACCTTAACCCTCTTCACCTTACGGGCATTTTCCCCAACTGCATGTTTTATGAGTGAGCGTTTTATGATTTTCAAGCAGTTTTTTTTTTCTTCCTCCCAGCGGAGAGAGGGAGACAAACATGATAGCCCAGCAGTGTGACAATTGCACCAGATTCTCGCTGGAATTTCTATTGGCGAGGATTTAGAGGCTGAATCTCCATGACAATGGGGAAGGAAAATGAAAGCAGGCAGCATTTCAAGTGAAGCACTCATTTCTAATGTGAATGGAACTGTGACAAAAAAAAAGAAAGAAATTCAGATCAACTGCACACCTACATACAAGGTACTAATGAGTCTCAATCTTAAACTAAATAGCTTTTCAGATATCTATGGTGCCATTCAGGACCAAGTATCATATTTTAGGATTATTTTAAGCAAAAATATTATTTTAAAAAGGTATTTTTAGTGTATTAGATTAGCTAATAAAACTGATATTAGTGCTGTAACATGGTGAAAATTAGTCCATTGTGTTTTCATGCCAATACTGTGTTTATCACAGCATTATATCAATTAAATGATTGAAGTTTTGACCACCAATTTGGCACTGAGTATTGTCAATATAACAGGAGATACACATAATGAAAAGGAGACAGCAATAGGGATTGAAAATAAATCTCAAGACACCTGCAGCACAATGGCACTCATTGAACGAAAGGGCTTTATCCTGCAACCATACGTGGGCATATATTCTTGTGTTTATTCTGTTTGGATTCTAGTCTGTCAGTCTTGCTCCATATAGCCTAAAGAAGGTCTGCGGGCTGAAACTGTAACTAAATGGTTCTCTAAATGATCACTATGTGTGCCTATGATTGATGCATCTGTGGTTCTGGGTACAGACATTAAACAATGCCAATAAACATTTTAGTTATGCAAAAACACGATGTAGTTATTAAACCTGCTGCTTAAGGAGTCCCAGGTGAGTTGTTTCATACATTAAACACTTGTGAATATCAAGCAAGTAGAGGTCAGTGCATCTTGTCTCATACCCTGTCTGTCTTGAAGATGAAGTACAGGATAAAGAGAGGCGCAACTCCAAACATCGCCCCCAGCAGAGATGTCTTGAACGTGGGTTTGAAGTATGTATAGGGGCTGGCGCGTGCTTTCACCCAGCGCGTCAGGGCAGGGTCTTCCTGTAAAGACAATTTCAAGGGTATAAACTGAATCTCTGTACTAAGGGAAGAGTCAAACAATTATTCACAACATATTACTACAACAAGAGTACAAAAGATATAGTATGCTGTCATGATAATAAAAAACAGTGGGGACCTTTCACTGTGTCAACTAAGGCAAATTGATTTGATTGAAATCAAGTCAAAGTACAGCCCAAAATAACAAGTTTGTCCCTTTTTATTTTTCCTTCATAAAAGGAAGAAAGTTCAGGATAAACAACTGAGGAGGGATCATTTTGACTTGTCACAACAGAAACTGTACAGGTGTAAATAATAACGAGTGATCTCTGAGTGTAGCTGCTTTAGTTTCAGGGTCCTGCTATCGTGCATGCCGGCTCACTGTCCCAACCTCCTGCCACACTTTAATAAAGCTGAGCCATTATGAATGTTATTAGTAACAGCTGTGCTCTCGAGAAGTCAAACTGTCTGCTGTGAAAAAGGCCACAGTGTGCACAGTGTAGACGTGAGCAGCAGCAGAGCTACAATACAGAGAAACAAACACTACTGAAGTAAATACTAAAGTGTAGCAAGTTGAGTTTAATGCAAAGAAAAAGTCAGCGGTCTGTGGGTGTTAAATGGGACATATTCTGCCCATGTGAAAGACTGCTAACAACTGAGACATTGCAGCTGGAGATTCAGCAATCTGGACTAGTGAGAGTTTAGTTGCAGGGGTGAAAGAGACAGGCATGAAGCAAAAATCTCACACGATGTTTAATTTGGTTAAAAAGTAGCAGATTTAGGATGTCTTTACTCCAGCTCTTGCAAACACTGCAGCACCTGACTACATTCAAAAGATAAAAACACTCCTACATCATATAGTGTGGGACCAACTCACCACAGAAATAAGACTAACACTGACCACACATTGTAGTTCAGCTTAAACGTGTGTGCACGGACAGAGTGTAATTAATGAATGAATGAATGAAGCATTAATGAAGTCTGAAAGCGTTTTGAATCACTGTAACACCAATGATCAACCCTCTTCTTCTTCAAGCTAACGTCACCCACTCTCCTTTATCAAAACCACAACAAATAATATTAACCCTACCCAGTTAACACGAATAGGGGACACTATACTCTAAACTAACATAACGTTAGTAAAGTGTGTGCCCTGACATGCTACCGTTAGCAGGTAGCCTGAGCGCTTTTCTCAAGGGTGACATTGCTAACGGTAGCTAGCAGGAAGCTACTTACGATGAGCTCTTTTCTGTGCGGGTTGTTGAGCTGTGTCTGGTATTCCCTCTTCAGGTTCGCTCGCAGTGCAGCCCTGGCCTCTTCGTTACGTCGGTGCTCCGTCGAGATGTTGAAATACTCTTTCGGGTCCAGTGTTTTTGGCCGTGAGACCAAGGGCGCCTCTGGGTAGCTCGCCATGATTGTTTGATGACGGACGGGATTTGGGGGGGGCAAAACGAGAACTCGTGAAATCTCGCGTTGAAACGGACGACCCCGTTACCACAGCAACGCCAAACTTCCACTTCCACTGGATGTCAAACGAAGCCAGAAACCAGAAACCAGAAACCATGAGCGCAAGTGACAAAAACCCAGACAACGACGAGAGTTTTCGCGCCGAGAGTGACGACGACTTCCAGTACGGAGAAGTGTCTCTTGAGGATGACTGGAGTTTGACGGAAGGGGAAGAAGATTTGGAGGCAACGGTGAAAGCTATCCGACACCGGGCAGAGGCCGGTGCTGCTCCCGGCTCCGCTCCCATCACACACCAACCCGAGGCCGTGGAGGACTTTTTACGCAACTTTCTCTCCCAAATGGACATGGCAGAAACACTCGACTGCTTTCAGACTGAGTGGACGGAGATGGCGCATAAAGGGCTGCTGGATGCGGGGCGGGTTGGCGTGGTACCGGACGTGTACACCGAGAACCAGCGTCTGGACGGCGAGCTGAAAAGCGCGCAGCGGGAGGGGGCAGAGTACAGACTGGCGGTCTCTGCCGCCGCTGAGACTCTGGGCAGAGTCCAGAAAGCCAGAGATTACCACCGACTGCGGCATAAGCGTGTTGTCCAGGAGAAAAACCGGCTCATCGAGGAGATCAGAAAGCTTAAAATGCAGTGCAGCGGCTACGAACCTGCAGTAAAGCGGATGAATGAAAAATACCAAGCAGTTTTAAAGCAGACCATGCTGGTGACTATGGAGGCGGACAAGGCCTTGGGACAAGCCCAGCTCAACGGGGGTGAAGAGGGAGGACTTCCTTTGTTGAAATGAATATTTGGTCCCACATAACTTTCCTCACAAGCCTCATTGTACAGCACAGTTTGAGCACTGTTTTATTGTACAGTTCAGAAGGAAATGCTGCACTAGATTTACTCTTCTCATTAATATTTGTGTGTAAGATTTTATTAAAACTTTTGTGAGTGTCCTGTATATTGATTGTTTTTATTGGAGGACAACTTTCCTTTTACCAACGCACTCACACCTCTATTGTTACAATACATTCATAATTTCCATACTACGAGACATATATGAACATATCGTTATCTTACTTCACTCAAGGTTAATCAGACATTTCAAAGCCTTGAAATTCTTAATTGTATGTCCACACCTTTGCTCTTATATGTGTGGTTTTAAATGTACAATGATTGCTTTGGCACAAATAACAATAATATGGATTGTGGCAGCTTGATAGTTCATTTTTACTGTGTAGATGTGGGACTTTCAGTGGATGTTGAAAGGGGTAGTGATAATCATAATACGATGATCAATCAGAGAAAGTTCAATACGCTGACATTCAGTTGATCTCACGCCAACGTTTTAGTGTTTGTTTTTCTAATCTAGATTGCATTCAAGATGAAAATGTGCACTTATTTATCAATCTGTCATTGCTCTGCTGTTGAACTTCGACATGTAGCACTGTAGAATATAACCACAAGAGGGCAATCTCTTGCAAGCTTTGGTTACACTACCCCAGAGTGAATATAAACCAACTGCAGCCCCAAGTTAGCAAGAGAACAAGAATTTGAAACAGCAGGGAAGAGGAATCTGCTGAGCTGCACTCAGAGATAAACCGGTGAAGTACCAGTGTCATTCCTGCTCATATGAGCCCTCTTTTTAATCTTTAACAACCACAGCAACAGTACTGCTTCTCAGCATGGGGTTTAAATGGAAATAAGCCACTAGCAGTGCCAGCCTTATGCTGTCTGAAGGGCACGGGCGAAAAAATTAAAATAGCACCAACTGCATACGGTGGGGCACCAGCACGCAGAAAGCCGTGATCCATTTATTGTGAAGCTGTTCCAAACCTGTTTCTAGCACAGAAGGCAGCCTATTACACTACATTGCGTTTAAAAAAAAATCCATTTTAAGGGCACCCCTTAGTGCATATTAGCATATTTTCTCCACTGGAAGGGCACCCTAGTCTAAAGGCCACTTTATCACATCCCTCTCTAGGGGGCCTATGGGCACATTGGGCCACCGTAGCTGGTACTTTATCGTGTTTCATCTACCATATGGGCGCCCATCCTCTTGGGTGCACCGGTTTCTTCAGCTATGTTCATTGAAATCACACACAATTGTGGAAAGATCAACATTTTTGAGTATAATATCCACCCAGATGGTCAGGCACAGTGCACAGGAATGCAGTACAATCTTTCAGATGTATTTCATTTTGGAGGAGTTTATCTGGTTGTTGTACTTTTTTTATGCCACCAGGGTGATGGAATTTCAGTAAAGCTGAACTGTCAAATAGCCTGTTCACAGATATCTCAGTGGCATTACAAATGGATGATGCAATAAATAGATATAACTTCTCTCACACAGAAGCTCTTTTTCTTTCTCTTACACTTCATAGTTGATAGTCGTAGAGTACGTGGTACAGAGATGCTGAGGGAGCTCTTTGATCCGGAGAGGCCCTGACGTAGTTACAGTAGGCTACGTGTGACCAAATGATTTATTGTCCTCTCAGGACCTCTAAAGCGCCACCCGCTCTGCGATTTTGAAACATCCATTTATGACTTCAAAATTCAATGTGAGACCACACTCCAGGACCAATAAGCCGTCCCCCTCTCTCTCTCTCCATTATGTTCTCAGAGAGATTTAGCCTCAGTTGAAATATTAATATGTTTCTGTCCCGACTGGCACCCGGAAGACCCCATGGCCTTGGAGCTGAAGTTGGGAAGTTTCTGAGTGGGCACAATAGCCATGTTTTTTTCCTTCACTGTCAGATTTCACACTTCTTTATGTCTTTCCCTCCACAGAACATTTGGTATTTCGTTCTTTATCGTACATCAGTGATGCTAACTGACGTTTATTTTGATGCACTCACTGTGCAAAGCTTTTGACAAGATAATAGAGCGATAAGGACGCGATATAGATGTGAGGCAGTTACAGACTGAGAGAGAGATAAGGAATGAAAAGGCATTGATGATCTCTATCAGCAGTCTGTGCTACCTTGCAAGACTTAATCACTACCAGTCATCAGAAGTCATTTTGTGCTGTTTTGGTCTCTTAAAATGACTTCTTCATGCAAGTCTGGCTTGGAAAGGGGAAGTAGGTTTCTTTTCCGACCACAAGCTAAAAGTACTTTTCTCCTTATTCTTCACCAACGGTCCCTGAAGTGGTTTAAGTAGAGACAATGACCTAATGTGTTATGCTGCTCTTTGGTACTTATTCATAATATTTCCTGGCCCAGAGATTCCATTACTCTGCTGCCCTTGAGGAATGTAACTGAGGAATGTAATGTTCCTTTCCACCCTTGTTTTCATCTACAGCACATAATTGTGCCAGTTTAGAGCCTTTGTAATTTTCACAAATGGTTACAAAGTCAATGAGGTGGTGGCTGGAGGCTATTTTCAGCCAACACTCTAAGCCCATATTACCTTCTCCAGCCTGCCCATCCCTGCCTCCCGACTGATTACTCAGGTCTGAGGAGAAGATTGTATTTCACAGGCTTTATAAGAAGTTTTCAACTTTGTGGCACCCTCTTAAATACCTCAGGCTGATTTGAATTCCTGCCCTGCCTGCCCGACTCCCTGTGCTGTCCTCTCAGCTCCTCTCTCCACTGACAGCCCTGTTCACTTCACAGTGCGCAACGACCTTCGTGTCATACCAAAGAGAAAGGAGAATGAGATGGAGAAAACTCACGTTTCAGCCCACTTGGCTCAGACTAAACCAAACCTGCCCCGCATCCTTATATCTCTATGCCCTCTACGCCCATTTTTCACTCTGAATTCTTCTTATAATAATTCTCCCGTTTATGCAACTGAATTACACCAGGCTTAGAATTGTGACCCAATTCCCAACCATATATATGACGCGTTGGCTCCTTATTCCTCAAGATATATTTTTCAGAAATGCTGTTTTCTCAATTCATCATCAATTCTCTCTGCCATCCTATTCTAATCTATATCTATGAAATTGATTTGCCCTGTCTGAGAGTATTCCCTTCTTAATAAATCAGCTTTCCATGGACCTGTATAGTGGGCAGCGGGTCAAACTCAGCAGTATTTCCTGCTTTAATGTACTGAGCAGGGCAGAGATTGGCCCATGGCAGTGACTCAGCACGCATCCATCATCTTCATGGAGAGCCACGCAGATAAATTGCCCAGAGACGGAATTGACAAAATCTGGCATTTTTCTTTCAGCTCATCTCAGCGCTGAGCTTTTACGTCTATTTTCAGATTTCCCAGGCAATATTCGCTCCAAACCGAAAGGCATTCATTGCCTGTGAATGACTTACATTGAAAGATATGGACTCCTGATGTCCGGGCTGTCAAGATCAGCATCCAGCGTGTTGCTCCTGGCACGTGATTTCTTTGCTCCTATCAGATTTTAAATACATTAGATGAACTCAAAAATGTATGGTGGTGCACTGTTTTTCTCGATTGCTTCCTGATTAGTAATCTCAGTCATAACCCATGTTGAATTTTCAACCAGGCAAAGTGGGCAACTGCCTTGGCGCCCCAGAAACCCCAGCCCAATCCATATCAGCTGATTGTATATTCACTAAAGGAACAGTGACATTTAGGGGAAATAGTTACATGAGAAGATTGATATTACTAATTAACAAATTTTATATTGTATGTTTAATACTATATTTAAAAAAACAAGGAATAAATAGCACAATTTGCAGTTTTATGGGCAGTTATCTGTCAAAGATTCTTGTTGTGGCCATGAGGTTGCCAGGCAACCAGCAGAGACTTTACCTTCCCCCTGCTTCCAGTCGTTATGCTAAGATAAGCTAATCGTCTCATTGTTCTACCTTCATATTCAGCATACAGACATGGCATCAGTCTTCTCGTCTAACAGAGAGAGTGTTTTCCCCCAAGAAATAGTTTAAATCATTCCTTTAAACCAACATTGAGTCATTTTATGATAATGAGTAATTTTTATCCCATGGAAACCAATAGCAACATCATAGTGCTATACTTGTAATGTGTGGCCTAAGGTACCCTGTATTGTAGGTATGTTGTAGCTTATAGATGTTTTTAAAGGCTACAAAGTTGTATCTAAATTTGTTTTCAGCAGTGTCGGAGACTTTTGTAGACATTTGTTTTTAGAGACAGACTGAAGGGATTGCAGATGGCAGACTGCCTCTGGATGTGCAGACAAAGGCTTTGTTTATAATAAGAAGCTGACAGAGCCTGGAAAAGTCAATGAATTCTGCATCGGCCCATAAATAACCCTCCCGCTGCCATACATGCTGAAAGGTCAGCAGCCTGATATATTGAGCTGACATCACAACACTGTTACTGAAGACTTACACATATAACACATATATCTCTTTCTCTGTCTCTTTCTCTGCCTTTTCTTCATTAGGGCCAGAGTGATGTGACATGGCTGTGCCCCTGTGACAGCAGTTAGAGGAAGTTTTGACAGGCAGAGTTAGGGAGGCTGTTTGGGGGAGGTGATGTCAGGCCATAGAAGAGTGACACGAGGTGAGGGAAGACAGCCAACGCCCTGTATCTGATCTGATGGGAAGTGGCAGGAGATGAAGAGAAGGAGCCAAATTCAGCCTGAAAGCGTGGTCACAGTCTGAGGTCAGCGGGAACAGAGAATAGACGAGGAGAACCACTCAAGGAATACTGAGTAGGGAATACCTTGTCTTGACTGTCAGTTAGAAAGAAATCACAATTTACAGAAAATTTGCAGTTGCTAAAATACTGCCTTTACTTTTACAGCCTGGCACAATGACGTTAAAAGACCATTCTTCATTGGGGGAGGGTGGTTGATTGGCCGTTATTTATGTCAGTTATGGTAACAACATTGCTACAAAAACCAGGTCAGACAGTCAGGTTGTAAACAAGCCACTTATTGGGAGCTAAAAGTGAGCAAGCACGAAATGTTGTTAATTGCCCTGTGCAGGAAAACCATGTGAGTAAGTGAAGAGAGTCAACAATGATCTAAGAGGTCAGAAGATGACTCTAAAGTCATCTTCATCAGTAGGTCTTGGTCATTGTTTTGCATTTTCTCTTTCAAAAAAGTAGCGAGTGTGAATGATATATCAGTCCTGCTGACATCCTTTTCTGTCGACACGACAAGCTGCTGTAGTGGTTTCTGAGTTACTTTGAGACCAGTAACTTCCTGCAGTCTCTACTGGTTGTTTGAAATGATCCTGACCAGTCTGTCTCATAACCCCTCCTAAAATGATGATTTGCCGTTTTTTACAATTGAAACAAACGAGATACGTTGAGCTTTAGAGTTGCAGGTTTTGTTACCTGTGAACAGAGCTGGACTAGCTGCTTTGTCCTCTTTCCAGCCTTTGTGATAGTCTAAGTTACCGGAAGAAGCAAATTTCCCCAAGTGTTTACTATTTGTTTAAGAGTTCTGCAATTCCACAGTTGTCGTCATTTCTCTGTTGCTATTTTTAATTATTGTATTAGGCGGCTAGCTACTTGTAGGAGGCTGATGACCCCATTCTGATTACCACCTATACTTAACTGTGACTGATTAATTGTTTCTCTAGAAAGGCACGACAGCAGACCGATCTGAATAAATCAGAGGTGTGGCCGGTGATGTAGAAATCTGGATCCAGGCGAAGTTTCGCTAGGGGTTTGTTTAAAACCAATTTGATCATCTGACTGCTCGTGTTCCTTGCCCAGTTGTTTAGCTATGTCACCACGTCCCCGGATTTCAGCAATTAAGAGTCCAATTCATCACCAATACAAATGAAATAAAAGACAAAACACAGTATGACGTTTTTCAACAGTGGGTGGTTCTGCTAATATAGTGTAGTTCCTGACTCATCCTATCTTTCTTAAAGACAAACTTGCTACCCACTGCTAACATACAACTTGTTTGTGACTCTTTTTTCCCACATCGCATGTTATTTGGGATGAGATGCTCCTGTCAACAGAAACTAATACTTACGCCGTGGTTTCCTCTGCTTCAAAAGGATGTTGACCGTAAGCCACTAACTACACATGAACCTGACTGAGCTTTTATGGGAAATTCTGACATATCACTCTGCTTGCGCCATTTCCTACCACGATCCTATAGATTGAAGGCTTCCAAATGATTTTGTTCATAGTGATTATCATCAGCTTTGTTCTCAAGGGGATGACTGAACCAAAACCAGAGCGGAAACAATGCCACACACCATTATACAACCGCAATGACTGAAAAAAAAGCTACAAGGATTCCTTTTGTGTTGACCACACACAGTGACACATGAACTTTAATTTAACATTTACATCACCGGAGGAAATGGGTTTATACGGCTGATTTCTATTTATAACGCGTCTGTGGACAGTAATGTGGGTTTTTTAAAGATGGTTTTGTGTGTGTGTGTGTGTGTGTGTGTGTGTGTGCAACTGATCCACACACACTTTTGTCTCCCGTTCCATCAGGTCATCAACCGGGAGGTTCCCAGGATGCATGAGCCCAAGGGTACAGTCAATCAGTGATACCCTGCTGGCAGCCGTCACAGCAGTGTGTGTGTATGAGATGATGACAGGGGAGTGAGCTGAGGCTGTGTCTCTCTTGTTGCTTCTAAATAGGAATAATAAGATCTCGGTCTTTATCAGAGCATTGCTGTTTCGGAGAAATCACAATGGCATCCTGTGGTGGTTTGTCACCAAGACAACACCAAGACAGTTCACAACCAGCTAATCCAGGTTATCTGATGACTGTGTCAGCAGCTCGGGACCTTACACTTGTCTATGTTCTCCCAGAGCGAGCTGCTGAAGCATAATCATCATCAATTATGTGCTTCAGGGAAAATGTCGAGATTATAAATAACATTTTGTTGTGTTATTTTTTTCCCCCCTGTCTCTGTTTGTGTCTATAAAACCATAATAATGAGACTGTGTGTACTGCATACCTACGTCATGAGCTAAGGGGTTTGATTAGTAAATGAGGGGAGGATGAGTCATCCAATTCACTTAGATTGCCTTACACTTTTACACAGGCTCATTTTCCTCATCAGATTGCCTCATACTCTGGATTTTCTGGAGGCATCACTTTGGGCGGGGGAGTACAATTTAAGATATCATTTTTGATGCTTTTTATTTTTACTCCAACATGCACTCATCACAGTACAGCACTGTTTTTCTCAGGGCTGTGAAACAGGTGATTTGTTTAATCTGATATGTTGAAATAGTAAGAAACCCAGATGCAGAGCAGAGAGAGCAAAGATCACATTTTGTGCACACATTTACGTCAGAAACACTCAAACTGTGTTTCCATTCCTGGCCAAATGAATTAAAAATGACACAAGATATTTAAATAGACAAAGTTTGACTCCTTAAACAGATGGTCTGGTCTACATTTAGATTTTTCTCTCTCTCACACACACAGGCTGTTTGCCCTCGGCTGCTATAATGTAAATGGATTAGGGCCTTTCATAGAAAAGAGCTTCCTGCTGGTTTATCCTGCTGACATTTTTGCCAACCATGCTCAATACCTGTAACACTTGCCATCTGTAATTGGGGTGTTTCAACCCCATGATACTTAATTTCATGAATCAGTTGTAGGCAGTTTCTCAGACCCTTGTGTGGGGAAATTGTGTTATTGTTGGAAAGAGAGAGGGAAAGACTGAGCTGCTCCAAAAAACTGTTATACTGTTTCTTAATGGAGCTGGAGTGTAAAACTATTATCCAATTTTATAGAGAAGGCTCCAGTGGAGCATAAAGTGCTTAATGTTTAAAGACTTCTACATCATTAGTCTCCACTAAACTTTTATTGAAATCTGATACAACAACACAAGAAATATTTCTGCAAAAATATACCCCCAATCTTCATAAGGAATCTGTGATTAAATAGGTTACAACAAAATGGCAAACTAGAATAATAATATGGGATTTCTGTGATTTTATAACATGCAGGAATATATTAGAAACTTAAAATAGTATATAAAAAGTATCTGTAAGTGCAGACTGGCTGATGAACGTAAGCTAGCTTACTATTGAAACAGCATTGGTGGACATCACTTAATTACTCAAACCGAATAAACACATGTCAGAAATTCACACCAATCTTCAGTTTGTATACATGATTTTTTTTGGTAAAATAAAAAAATGTGTCATCTTTTGCACATCTTTTGTAAGGCATTACCATAATAAGAAAGAACATTTTATTTTGAAGCACGCATCTTCTGTATGCTTCTTTTGGGTCTGTCGTTCTCTCCATCATTCTGTGGATCTCCCTGGAGCGCACAGAACACAACATGTAAATTTTCATCAGAAGTAGTACATTTGTGTTTAGGAGAATAAATACTACACAGTGACTCACCAGGACAGAGAAAGCCCCAGAACGACCTGAGTTCCCCCTTTTGGCTGGCTCAAGCTTCACCTGTCTCCTTGCTCTAGTCACCTGGAAGCGAAAGAGTGCTGTTTTTTAACAACTGACATTTTCTGTGAGGACATCAACTTATTTCAGCATCTGGAAAAAGATTACGAAGAACATTTTCCACTGCAAAACTGAAAGGACACTGTCTGAATGATTGCCATTTCAATGAACAGATTATACTGGTGAGTAGACCAAACTGATCCAATAAAACCAAGTAAGGTGGCCTTATAACTCTGCCTGCGCATCCGGCCTCTTTGCCCCAGCTGTTTCCTCTGCTCAGGGGGTTGCCATGGAGACTCACCTGTAGGGGGTTGGATTTCTTGTCGTTGCTAAGGAGGGAGAAGGAGCCGAGATGGGGTTTACGCTTGTTCTTTTTCTTATTCGCAGCTTGAGTCAAGTGTCGCCTGGACCTATCAGCCTAAGAAACCAAAGACACAGGGATTAGTATATGATGTACACTGTACACACGTGTGCTCTCTTTAAATCCTCTGAACTGAATTTGGAAAACATTCACTTCACTAGACCTGTGGCAGCAGCAGCCGCTGCTGTAAACCAGTCCCCGCCTCCCCCACATTTGGCTTTTGCTCACTCTGACTCCTGTGTGACTAACAAGTAGTGGTTTACCTGGATGAGAGTATTAGGGAAGCCTTTGACAGAGACGGCCCCAGGCAAGCTGGAGTGGCTGAGGTGGGTGTGACTCCTGTGCTCCAACTGTCTCTTACGTCTGAACGAAACCTACAAGAGTGAGACAGTCACAACCGCATCCACAACCACAAAGTGAAACAACAACTCCTGCACGTCTCTATCTGTGTGGGAAAGTGCATGAGTCTTATGTCCTGTCCTGCTTTGTACTGTCCCTGTCCTCACATTCACTCTCCCTTTTTTTTATTCGCAGTCACACTCCAGCATTAAGGGGAGGAAACTGCAAAATTATTATTGTCAGTTGCCCCCGCCATTTCCTGCATTTCTCATTGATCTGCACATAAACGAAGCACTGCTATTGATCCACTCGTTTTCCTAATAAATGGACTGTCACTTTGAGGAACAACATGTTTCAGTTTGCCAATTAGGACTTTGTGGTACATTTATAAGGGTACCACAGGGCCTCGACTGCATCAGTGCTTTTCCCCCCAGGTTATATAAGTGTGGAAATGAAAAGACTGTTTCCAGTATTGGACATTAACTTCCTACTTTTTCTATTTCCCCATTCTGTTGAAAACAAAGATGAGTTCATTAGCTACAACGTATTTGCCTTGCAATCACTTGTGATGCCATTTAAAGTACTTACAGTGATTGCTGTTGACCTACATTTTGATTGTTTTAGTTTTCGTTGTGGGGAGAGTTTTGTGGAATATCTTAGAATTCGCTGTGTCACAACAGCTCTACAGTGTGGAGCTAAAGGATATTTATAATATGCATATGTTATTGCTGGTGTGTGTGAGGGACTTGTGTCTGTCAAAACAAAAATGATACTGTAATGCTTCTGTGGTTTCACTGCTTTGTCACCATTACATTATATCACCAGTAATATAGTTATCTTTATTATGCACTTTGTATGAATTAACGTAACTGTTTTATGCTATATAAGAACTTAACAACCCATCGTAACCTGCCTCCCCTTTCCACACCACTTAATTTCCCTCTCTTGTTTGTGTCTACCTCCTCTTTCTATTGCCATGTCTTTTTATCTTATGTCTGCTGTGGTGTACCTAGGATCATGGACCAGACTCCCTCAGAGTTAAACCTGCTCTAAACTGGAGCCCCCTCTCAGAGGAAGTAGGATTCAGACTGAAGCAACAACCTTGAGTAGGATAAACAGTGGTACATACCAGTCCTTCAGTTAAGGGTAGCGCCCTCTGCTGCTTCTGATCATCATACTGAGGAGAGGAAGAGGAGAGAGTCACACAAAACACTGATGCCCTTTTTTATCTTCAATACAAATGTGGATTTAAATGAACACAAAGAAATGAATATTCTTACACTGAAACACAATTCAATATGTTGTTTTCACACATTAGCTACTGCTAGTGCATACTGTGCATTGTTAATTATTTATGAATATGTGACCATTCACTCCCTCAAATTGGTTAAGTAGGAAAATAGTCCTCTGACCCAGACAGATGTCCTTTCTAACAAAATATCACAATTCCTACTTGAGAAAACAAATAATTCTCCAGCACCCAAGTCATCAAACATGGCAGCTACAGCTGTGATCTTGTGGCTGTTTTGTATGTGTGTGCGTGAGTATGCATGTGTAAGATATTAAGCTAAATTCAGCCTCCATCAAAACCTGCCATAATTACTCATTCAGTGTATTCCACTCCATTATAAACACAAGTGACCTTTGTGGGAAAAGGCAAAACATAAGTAAACTGAACCAAATGTGGCCTCTGAAAGGATGCTGCATCGGGTATTAGTTAGTCCCCACCACATTTGAAGCTTAACATTTTGCATGCTGTAATTATAATACAAAAATCGGCTGCAGAAAAGCACATATGTGGCACAAACTCCCTCAGATGGAACGGAATTCCAAATTAAAACTCTTTAATGTGTGGGTGAAGTGTGTGGGTGAAAATGCCCCTCTCTTCTCCTGCAGCTGTCGAATCCGTTGTCCAGATGAGGGTTGATTACTTTGGACAGAACATGTGGACTGTCCACAGAAAAATGCTGACCACAAGTTTAAAGTATAACAGCCTCTGGCCACATGAAAAGCCAAAAAGGGAGCTGAAAGATTTTGTTCCACAGAGGGGTGTATTTTTGGTGTGGTGGCATTATGGCTGTAAAAACCATTACAATGAGGCATTGTTTCTGTTAGAAAAAAAAATGACACGTCTCCACAGGTCAGGGTTAGACTGTACACGTCTCCTGCCGCCCTGAAACTCACTTGACCACTATTATCGTCACAGTAGCCTCTTTCGAAGGAGTCAGAGTGAACTTGCATTCCAGAAGAGTTACTGGCTTCCTCAGACTTGAGCTACTAACACTGATCACTCTGTGTCTGAGCAAAACAAACTAAATCATGTTACTACTGGTCATTTCCACCTAAACTAAAAGTACAAACTCTTAAAAACTAGCTTTTCATGAATAATTCTGATTGATAATAATAAAAATAAATGATCCCCTTCATTAAATGTATGTCAATCACATAGAGAAACAAAGCAGATGAGTTAGAGACAGATTTTTAAAGCTTTTAACCAACTGAACTGTGGCTTGTACAAAAGAGGAGGAAAACTATTATTTAAATTAATTGTAATTTAAAACAATTTAAACATACCATTCTCTTTGAAGTAAAATCAAACCAACTTTTCTCACTACCAGCTCATGTTACATAACTTGTTCTCTAGCGTCCTTTTCGGAGAAAATGCTGATTATTCAGATTGTATTCACTTTCATTTGAGAGGAGGGTTAGTTATTATGTAGTTTGGTCCAGCAAACAGCATTTAAACAGACTCAAACAGGCTGCACTTACCCCTGTAGTGTCACAACAGCACAGATAATGACTGATAGCAAATGAACACCTTGGTTCCCACTGTCCTTCCCTAACTATCACATCCATTAGAAGTTCGTCTCTTACCTGTCCGTCTGCGGTCTGTCCACTGACACACAGCTCTCCCTGTGTTGCTCCTGAGCAGTCGAGGGCGTGTGACAGCAGGCTCGCCTGCAGGCAGAGCACACACAGCCAGATAGTAAACCCCATGATCCAGGCAGGAACTCGAGTGCTCCCAGCCCCTGTCAGCTCCCTGCTTTATACTCTCGGCTAATGGGGAACAGATGCAAAGGAACGGGAGGCCATGCCAGCTTCACACAGACAAACAGCCCACCACAAGCCTGTGCTATACGCCAGCCAGTGGCCTGCGGTCCTGCAGAAACATGTCAGACATCTTGAGGGGCCTCCCTTTTAAAACTCTCCCCCTACTCCACTAACCCTAACCAAAGAGGAGTATGAAGGACATTTTCCACTTATGTCTGCAATGTAGCTCGTGCCAAAGTGTGTGTGCGTAAATAAGAGAGAGCACAGAGGGAGTGGAGAGAGAGGAGACTTGCGTTGTCAAACCTCTATACATAACAAATGAAAAATTGGTGGTTTCGTTCTTGTAATGTCTTGAAGAAATGCTGCATTATGCGGTGAATTTGTCTCCTGGCTCAGTGAAGATGAATCTCTTTCCTTGTGTTGTTTATATAGTTCTGCACTGATCCAAACACTTCAGTAAGCCTTTTAGAATTACAGTAATTACTGTAGACTTTATACAGCAGCTATCAACACTGTCAATCCGTCCTTTAGCTTGCAGACGACTGTTGACTGAACACTGGCAAAAGGAGATAAAACCACAATGGATAAGAATCATGATGTATTATCCTTTAGGGAAACTACTCATGATCAATTGGGAAAGGAAAAAAAAAGCTGAAAAACAGAAAGAAACTTAGTGAGGGGCAGTTAATATACCTCTATAGGAGTTTATATGGCCTTTAAAACATAGCACACCATAAAGAATGCATCTCCTGACGGGGCAAGTTGTACATGAATAGGAACCCTTGTCTCAAGGTGTATTACAAGATGGAAAGAGTGAGTGGGAGTGAGAGAGACGAGAATCAAGTCTTCGAGCCTCAGGCTCCGGGTCACAGAGGAATTGTCTCCTGCTAGGATTGGAAACACACCGCTGTGAAAATTGTTGAAATTAAAGTTTAATTTCCGGTCCAAGACAAGCCCGTATACCACTTTCCTGTCCTCTAGCGTATCTGTGAAAGATGTTGCTTCTTGCTCTACAAACTTGAAAGAAATTGTAGAAGAATCAGTAATGTTTCTGACCATTTCCTGCTGAGTCACAGTTTGAGTGGGGGGAAAGAAAGATGGTTATTCATCTTCATCTCCAGCTCCCAATCACCCCTCGCCCCCTTATTTTTGTGAGATATGTTCGACTTTGTGTAGGAACCTTTTGCAAACTTCTCCCTGGAGGTTTAGCGAGACCACTGGCTAGACAGCTGCGGGCTAATGATGTGAACTATAGGAGGGGATGTTTAGTCAGGAGACAAAGGAAGGGAAGAGTGAAAAATGACCTTAAAGAAGCAAAACATTGCTTTTATTTTTAGTCGATCCAAAATGGACCCAAGTCTAAGAGTCAGCCATTTTACTGGACAGACTGAGCAATTCCCACTGGGAATCTGTGCTTGAGTTTAACAAAACATCAGATGACTTCTTGTAAGGCATGCCGAAATCATGTTACCAAGGTTACAAGTTTACATTAACCTCTCACAAACCACATTGTGGCCATGTAAAGAGACAGTAATCACAGCTAGGGAGAGTTATTTCATCCTCCAAATCCCTGTTATTCACTCCTCACTTTCAAGTTTACAGTAACTTTTTAATACATCTCAGGGAGTTAACTGTACAAAAATTGCAACGCAGAGCCACTCTGAGTATTCGCCTCCTCTGCCTCCCTATGGGAGGTGTCATTCATCAGCGGCTCTGCTTTGAGCTGCTGTCAATGTGTCTGAGGATGATGCTCTACAGCTAGCAGCTGTTGGCCTTGTAAAAAAGGGAAAAAACCTTTTTTCTACTGCAAACTGTCTGCTCTGACCAGATATGAGAAGACAGGTAATTTGTAACACATAAATACTAGAAATGTGTTTGTGTCTGTGTGTGAGGGTAGGCAACAAAGCTGTTTGGCAGCAGGATGAGAGATGAGAGAAAACAGGAAATAGGATTCAGGAAACAACATCTGGATTAGGAGACATGACTCATAAAGTAATGGATGTTTTGGATTATGTAATTGAAACATCGACTCTCTTGCTGCCCCATTTGTTAAAGGGTTGGTTCACCCAAATTACAGAGCAACACATTCATATGTAACTCTAATGGTATCTGTTCGTGCGGATAGTTTTGGTTCTATTTGCCCAGATTTTGAGATATCTGTCTCTGAGAATATCGTCTCTGTCAGAAAACTATATAGGTGAACGGAATTGTGTTTCTGTTCCCGAAAGCATTGCAAATTGCGCATTCAACAGTATTGTGTTTTTCCAGAAATGTTAACAGTTTTTTTTATGTCTTTGGCAGAAAGTCCTTATTAAAATTATAGACATAGTGGCACTATGGGTAAGTTAAAATATTTGTTGTGTTGATGTTGGTGATGTCACTTATTTAACTGTTAAAGCAAGAGTTTGGCATTCTGGGAAATATGCTCATTCGCTTTTTTTGCAGATACAGCCAAGAGACGGTTAACTTAGCTTAGCATAAAGACAGGAAACAGGGGGAAACAGCTAAAAAAATACACTTTTACCAGAACACAAACAACATATACCATGTTAATTAATGAGCTTTAGATCTGCCGGTAAAAGGATTTTATAACCCACAGACAGAGCTAAACCTGCTGAGTTTGCTATGCCAAGCTAAGTTTATTTATTGCTAGCTTGATATTGAACAAAATCAAATGAGAGAGGTATAAATCTTCTCATCTAACTCTCGGCAAGAAAGCAAATAAGAGTATTTCTCAAAATGTCGATTCTATTAAGACATTTTATTCCTTTAAAGGTGTGTTCTCCCCCATCACATATACAGTAAAATGATTCTGTTGGGTCTCAGCTCAGTGCTTTATAAAGCAGTATTCCCTTGATAGCTCTGTATCTATTTGTATGTGTATATAAAAACTAAAACAAATAATTGCCAACGTACGTGGATTTATATAATATGCTTCCAGATGAAATGAACCACTGACACAACAGTCAAGTAGCCTCCTTGGTAAAATCAAGGTAAAATCAAGGTAAAATCTGTCCTTTTCATTTCTATCATTTCAATTTGCAAACCAAACTCAGTCATGCTCCAAGTAACACTTTCCAATTATATCTCTGTGTTACTGAATGCAGATATTGTATGTGTGTGTGGCAGATGAAGAGAACTCCCATGTGTTGGAGGGGTAAGGCATGAACAGCGTATGTACATAGCTGAGAAATGAGAGACTGAAACTCATGCCCCCCTCTCTGTACAACTGGACAGGCTCATAGGTCTGATTGCAAATCAATACTCCTCTACAGCACATTGTCGTCTTCTTTCTATAAGGCTGCTTTGGTAACAGCTTTGTGAAAGGTGCCGGGGAGAGAAAAGCAGTGAGGCTTTCAATCCTCTCATGTGGAAACGGTGGAGGAAGCCAAGGACGAGGCTGAGGTAAAACAGTACGGCAGTGCTGCAATTTGTGTGTTTGTCATTGAACAAAGAAGGATTATTGTCTGGCCTCTTACATTTTACTTTCCGTTTATATGACCTTGGCTGTTTGAGCATTAGCACGCTCACAAAGAGGAGCCCTCAGTTGACTCAATGTGAATCTTAAATATATCATCAGTTACCGACAGTATTTGTCTTTAATCTCACATCTGTATCCAGATGCTCCCCACAGCATTTCTGTGAATTAAAAATGCAGTCAGCAATCACAGCCCTCATTTTCTCACACAGATGAAATATGCATTGCATTCCTTTAGATCCATAACTTATCAATTTAGACATCAAAGCTCCCAGGAAGAGAAAACATTCAGTCCGTAGATAATCAATTAAATCCTAAGTCACTGTGGCTGGGGGCTCTATGGAGACGTGACGTCTCAAATGAGTCATATACTGAAATATCTCAGTGGTTTTAAAATAGTGGGAAACTCTTACTGCATAAAAGCAAGAAAATGGGCCAGGTGCATGTTGAAATATTAATCTATAGTAAGAAAAGGGCACACGGGTGAAATGACATTGCACTGAGGAATTTGTTTACATTATGATTTGCTGGGTTAAAGCCATTTTCTTACTTCAAAGTTATTTTTTTTTTAGGTTTTGACTTGACGAACGACAAGATGTGACACCTAAACATGGGTTCTAACATTTATTTTCAGGATGTAAATTGTTTGCTTTCCAGTAATAAGTATAGTATATGCTATATGTATATGTGGTACAAGGGTAACTCTAACAACCGTAAGACACTTCAACACTGTTAAATAGTAGCTATTTTCATAATGCGCCTTCCATTTTTCACTCAGTTTTGTTAATTGTCTGTGCGTTTCTCTTGTTCCAAAATGGCTGCCAAATTCCTGTAGCCTCTATAGACTAGACTACAGTACACAAGTGTAAATGGGTTGTTGTGTTCTCTAGGGCAGTAGTTCCCAAGCTTTTTAAAACCATGGCACTACTTAATAGTGGCTTGATACAAATGACAGTGACAGCAGCTTTTACTGATGGATGTGAACCAGCACTGCCTGTATGCAGGTAATTTTAATTGAACGTCTTTTTTTGGCTTTTTTGGATGAGCTTACTTGGCACCATTCCAGCTTCTGATAGCTTTTTTTTTTGCAGATGAGGCAGCAAAAGACGTAAGCTAAATAGCTCACTCACTCTCAGTCTGAATTTTGGTCAGCTCCCACAGAGCTGAGATGTATCAGCATTTCTTTGAGCTCTTACAGTGTCAAATGTTCCCGTCGCTTGTTCTGACAGTCTGACAGTTTCTGACTGCAGTGCATCTGGAAAGCTCGAGCCAGAAAGTGTGTTGCATTAATATGACAACAGGCAAACACCTGTCATGCCATCAATCCTAGATGCATCTAGCAGCGTTCTTATTACAGTGACTTTGATGTTGACTGCTTATTTCTTCTGTTTTGCCATGCTTGAAGACATAGAAATGCAGTAAAAAAGGTAAAGCTTTGTCCATCACCCCCCCTTTGGAAACAACTGGAAACAAGTAAATCAGCACAATGAGAGGATGAGCTAGATGAAGGAAAGAGGTAAAGAGTGTCCAGATGTGGATTATGAATCTGACAACTTCCTATGTAGACGTCGGCAAGGTACCCGCACCACATGGTTATACTATAAGTGATATTTTATAGAGGTAATTTCATAAAGTAGGAAAGTGCTAATTAAACCCAAGTTGTCTGGTATTATCGCAGCA